AATAAGGTACTTGGTTTCCCTTGACAATACTGCAACATCAATTTAGTAACCAGGAAATAATTTATCTAAACAGTCATTAAAAAATAACTCACGGACCTTCTTGACATTGCTAGAAGAAATTTTCCGATCGTAACAGTAAGAGCAGAAATTTCGGAATCTTTCAAGAATATGGCATAAAGTAAATATCAACCAGTCCCTTTGTTATATTTTTTTGAAATTTGAAATCGGTCTAATACACCTTTCACGTACCATCGACCAGATCAAAGTATTCTCTTAATTTTAATACAAGTACATGATTTACTTCCTTCACTTTATGGATTTTGCTACTTCTCGTTTCATGGAATACATTTAAATCATGATTCACAAAACGGTTTTTCAGTACATCACGGTTCGAAAATGAAAAAATAGTGGATTTTGGGGATCACAAAATTATATCAAAACGTCCCCTTCCCGCCCAGTTTGTAAATTAACGTGGTCGGCTGAGGCTTTTCTGACAGGAAACCATTCTGAGGTTAGAAGCCGGGAAGGAAGGAAGGACAAGAAATTGGAAATCTTAAGATACTATTAATCCTTTCACTTCCAGGATCTGATTGTTAATTCTCTCCTCTAGCTGATACATATTTCCTTGTCAATTGGTTACGAGGATTTGATGTTCAATCAAGATAATATTTTGTACCTGATAAGTTTAAGTAATCTCATTACCTGTTTGCTGGATAATGTATGGATATTATAGGGAGAAGTTACACGTTGATCACTTCGGGGAGTTAAAGGGTTAAGAGGTATATGAGAAGCAGAGGCTTCGTGGTTAGTTGGGGGGAGGGGGGGAGGGGGCATGGGTAATTTTCCATGGACCACCTTTCCATCAATCCCGTAGTCCTCTTCTACTTGCTCGATTGTAACATGTGAATTCAATTCAGCAGTTGTACAAACAGAGTAGGTCTGAAGCAGCAAGTCAAAACAGAGTGGATGAAACCTAATGGTCCCATTGGTTCATCGTGATGACCCTTATTTACTATTTCTTACTGTGTGGATTAGGATATTCGGTCGGGGTCGACTTGAAGCGAAGATCGGTTTACTTTTCCAAAAACTTCGAAGTTCTGAGATGGGCTTTTTGAACGTTGTTAGTCTGCCCTTACGCATTGACGAAATCCGCCTTATATGGAGTCAGAACTACTTTGACATCTGGGCGTGAAATGAAACCGCCTTGACCAATGTTATACCGATGTTTGTGTAGAGGATTACGATATTGTCCACCATGATTGAAACCGCTGTGGTGGTGGAGTTTGTATTTACATAAGAAAGTCAATATCTTTTGTAGAGAGGACTGACCTAGTGCCGGAAAATCTCGAGGCTGCTTGCATCGAAGGAACAAAAACCGAATAGTAGACCTTTCATTGCTTCATCGATTTATAAGCCGCCGAGTGCACCTGTAGATATATAAGATAACATAGAACGTACGATCGGACAAATAGATAATGAAGACAAGGAAACCTTTATTCTAGGTGAGCTCAACTGCAACTTATTAGACCAAGCTAATCTTGATAAATGACGCAAAGCATTTGTTGCGAATCTTGGAGGTATATCAGCTTACGCAATTAATAATTAAGCCCACATGAATAGTGCAATGGTCTGAGTCACTTTTAGATGTATGTATTACTTCCTCTCCTGAGAAGATGATCCATTCAGATATATTTCATGTCGGCCTTAGTAACCATTTAATTTATGCAGTTTTCGAGATTAATAGCTTACCTAAGTGCAATAGAACAAGGGAAATCGAAGTTAGAAATTTAACAGTCAACTTTTTCTCGAAGACTTGCAAGCTCAACCTTAGGCGCATTTATCTCCTTATGAAGGTGACGTGAATGCACTTTCGAGCTGTTGAAAGACTATGTCCTTAGGAGTGTCGACAGGCACGCCCCTGTCATGTCATAAAGAGTGAGAAACAGGACCAGCTTTACCTTCCTAGGTTGTCTAGGAATATCAGGGATAAAATGCTGGAGCGTGACCGTCTTAAGCGCTTAGCTATAATAAATAACGATGATGTTAGTTGGGGAAAGTGCAAGTCTTTCAGAAATGAAGTAAATATTGCATTACGTAAAGTTAAAAGAGCTTTTTACGCTTCACAAATCGAGAATGTAATTGGTAACCCAAGGAGTGCTTGGAAACTTTTAATAATATTCTCGAGCGAAAACAGAGTGCGGATGATGTTAGTGAAATCATGCTTAACGATCTTAGTGTTTATTTAGGAAATTGTGAAAATATTCAACGAGCATTTCACTAGTATCAGCCCTAGCTTTGCCGAAAATATAGATAATAACAGGTGTGACTTCAGTCAATTTGTTCATAGGGTTGACAGGAGTTTTCACTTTCAGCCTGTAAGTTCATCTCAGGTCTATAAATTTCTCAATTCTTTGTCTGTCTGCAAGGCTACTGGGATAGATAAAATATCAGCCAAAGTTTTGAAGTTGGCTGTACCAGTTGTTTCAGAATCCCTAACGCAGATTTTCACCAAGTTACTTGTCTCGCATGTTTTTCCTACAGAGTGGAAGGTGGTTCAAGTAAACGCCCTTCATAAGAGAGGTTCGCGTAACATTTTAGACAATTATCGGCCAATTTCGATTCTTCCAATAGTAGGCAAAGTCTTTGAAGGGATATGATACAAGCAGCTGGTTGAATATTTAGATACTCAGAATTTGTTATCAGCGCATCAATTTGGTTTTAGACGCTCATTCCACCGTTTCAGCTTTGCTTGACTTTTCAAATGAATGGTATTGTAACATGGATCGCGGCCTTTGTAACCTAGTTATTTGTCTTGACCAACAAAAGGCCTTCGATACGG